GAGACAGACACAAAGGTAGAGAGTAGGGTATGGTGAGTACGGGGAAATGGTCGAATATGACGTATGGTTGGGTCATGGTTGTTTGAATTCAGCTGCCCTTATTAGCATAGGATATTACATTCCAGATTAACACTCTCTACGGTATCCTAAGTCTCCAGGTGGAAAATTAGTTGAAGTTTCTAGTCATTTAGTACCGTGGGGATACTTTGTGTCAGAATATTTTACCTACTTTGATTGTTAAAGCAATCATCGATTAACTAGTTCATGTAGTGTGTCTTGGGCTATTGTTTGGCAAGTAAATGGCAGTATTGGACGTTTTAAATATTGATATGTTATATGCTTTTTCCGTTCCCCCTTTTCACAGCCGCTTCAATGAAGGATTCCCGTATGCTACTCAATTTTGGTGGTAGCAATTCCCTACCTCTTCGTTATCCTCCGTCAAGCGTTGCCGGTGGTTTCCAACTCCTAGCGGAGGTCACCGAAGATGCCCAGGTTGCCAATAGCAACTGTGGTTGGCGTCTCAATCCCTACGATGCAACTGCGGGTGTGGAAGTGCAACCGGATGGTATGGCTCTTCAAGCTCACTGGGGATCCGGTTGGCAGGGCTGCAGAGCAAACAGAGTAAGTTCACTGCTCGCACTTTAATCCCTATATAAGTACTATGTTTACTCTTGAAGGATATGCGGGCAGCAGGCGAATAGTCCATAATGAACACGAATTCTGTTGATAATGTCCTCTTTCAATAACCTCCTTTAATTCTGAATTAAGCCCTACGCTTGTTCCCACTGTGTTGTGCTTCGCCTGATAGGAAAGTGTGCGCATCAAAGTGGACCGACCAACCTTGTGTTTGAAGTCGTTTATTGATTGTCCTTTTGAGGCGATATCCATCTTATGTACCCACATTTTGGACTGTTAAAGATGTTCTCTATCGTCAACGTCAGAGGCATGAATTGTTAATTTATATCACCCTCGAACCTAAATAATTAGAAGCCACTCTAAAGTCTTCCCTACAAGGCAATATATATAGAGGGATTTCATCTTGTTTCTTGTTTTTTTTCAAATCCCAAAATGGTTGTTTTCATAATCACCGGTTCCTTCGCTTTCAATCTCTCTCAACTTTGGACACTTTCTTGACTTATTTTTATGAGGGATTGCAGAGCATTTTTTTGTTGTTTTCCTATTAAAGTAAGGTAAACACCTTTTTATGGACAAGTGGAAATGTTGCCTCTTCCTAGTAAGCAACTTAATCGAATTCTTTCATTTTTCTTAATTTTGTTTTTTTTGCTTTCATTTCACGATGTTTTTGTTTGTCCGTCTAATTATTTTCTAAATGCTTGTAATCACAACATCGTAGCACGTGCCCGTCCGTAATCTAGTTGCTGATGACTAAAGAAGTCTCGAATTCTGCCATCTTAATTCCTAAGACCATCAAAGAACGTACTTTCCACTAATTACCTTGATTAGTGAAGCCAATTAGGCTGGTCGTTTCATTCCCTTAATATTGGACTGTAGTGTAAATGCAATTGGGCTGCTCTATGTTGTCTTAATTCATGGTGTTCTTGCCTTTGTGCAGTCCTTCTGACAAGCGCTAGTCCTCACAATGTTCGCGTCTTCCATGTCAGTGAATCTGTTCCTCAATTTCAGACATCCATCTGCCTAATATCCATAGGCCCCGTAACCTAGCCATTAGTTAACTAGAAAGATTAGTCATATCCACGGCTTTGTCAAACGCACTTTAACTTCGAGAGTAATTGGGTTATCCAATTGTTTTCCCTCGAATTTCCTCCTTGTCTTAATATTTAGGTTGTTTAACTTACTGAACTTTGAAGAGAGTATTCATTATACATCTAAGCTAATATTAATGCTTCAAAATGGTATACCTAACCCTTTTGTATAGCCAATTAGTCTATGTTTATTTTTTTGGACTTTGTGATCATGAAATCGCTCGAAAATTCGAAGCAGAATCGTGAAATGCTATCTTGGATAATTTGCATTGATTAAGCCGCAATACTTTATTTCAAACTTGATAGAACTCCCCACCCCCACCCTACCCTCATTCACCCCCTTTTAAACTATCTTTCTTGTAAATTCTAAGGCAATTGTGTCAAAGTATTTCCTTTTTCACGCTGAGTTAATGGATTTTCAATGACATGTTGTCTGAACTTCGATCCTAGTTAAATATTTTCGAAGCTTAAGTGATTGAAATATCCCGGAAATGTTTTCACGATCGTTTAGGGTTAACTACAGGTTTCTGCAATTTCCCAGTATTCAAGATTGAATGTTATCACTGGAATTGATTTTCTCCTTTTCGAGTGAATCAGCTGAAATTAATCAGTTTCTCTTCTTTGTGCTTTATCAAAGGCGTTAAGACAGCCCCCCCCCCTCTTATTCAAACAATTTACTTTTGTGAGTTTTCGTTTTTTTTTGCAATGTGCACCTATCTTGAAATGTGCAATTTGTGTTTTAACAATTCATGTAAACAATTGGTGTTCTAAGCGTAATTTTCCACAATACTGGGAATAAAACATGGAATGTGAAATATTAATTTCTCACACAATATTACTCGCGTGACCTAAGCCTCCTTCGCATCGCTGAGCCTGGAGACATTTGTGTCAAAGGGTTGTCTGGTTGATCCTTTTGATTTTTGGGGTGTTAAGTGAGAGGGAGGGAGGGAGGGAGGGAGATAGAGAGAAACTTTCACACCGAAGTAGAAATTCTTTGCCAGATTATTCACTTGAAGTAACCTTTAAGCAATCACGTGACCTCATATCTCCACTTTAATTTCATCCCTCCTGCCTCTTTTCTCATCCGCCTCGCCTCGCTAGCCTCAAAGCGTCTGTGTCCAAGGAGATGTCTACTTGATCTTGTGCACTCAAGAGAGAGGATGAGGGTGAAGGAAATTTCCCTTCTGAGTTTCAGCTCATGTGGGGGTGGGGAGGCTGATTTGAACTCAAGTCGTCTTTGTCTACTATCCTATCGATTTAACAGAGAAGTGAGCAAAGTTCAGTTATTTTACTAGTTCTCGCAAACCTCCAACTCATAAACCTCAGTAATAGGAGGAAAATTGTGTTAATTTGAATCGCTGAGCAGATTTCGTCACTTTTGGTATCATATTTGTCGATAGCTGTTCCTTTACGCTCATAGTTGTTTTTTATCTAAATTAGGAGACTTTAATAGGAAATGAATTTCGTGATCTTGCCCCTTTCTCTTCGGTCTGTACTTCTACAGGCATATTATATTTAATTAATTATTAATTAATTAGATTAGTTTAGTTTAGTTTGTGTAGCTGCATGTTATCAGCCTGGGAGTAACAGTACAGTAACCAGGGAATCCGGGTGCTGCTTTGCCTAAATCAGTTCACTTTTTAATCACATTACATTTACATTCATTTACATTCCCTGTAAACCTTATTCTACCTATGCTATTTTTTAATAATGCCAATGCGCAGTTCTTTGTCAGTTTTCATATTCAAAAAGTTTTGTTCAAATATGCTCCTCCCTATGTTCCTATGTTAGGGGGGGGGG